TATGAGGTATGGTATGAGAAAAGCACCCCCGCCTTCAACCCAAGTCATTGTTAAATAGATATTGATTTCTATTTTAAAAATTACATACCATTTTGATAGGCCAGGTATGGAAACCTAATTATGTAATCGTTTATTGTTAATTATTTAATAAAAATCGAATTTTAAAAATTGAAAGTAATTGAAATATTTATCTAAACCTCCAAACATTGCCGATTCCAACACTCAGTCCAACACAACTCAGCAGAAACTCTTAATTAAAACAAATGATAATAAACTTTACAAATATAATTAATAAAATGAGTATTAATTGGCAAACTGACCCCATTTGTTACCCCAACCACCTCTCGACTGGACACTAGTTGTGGAAACTCTTCTCTCAATTTGTCGTATGGAAGCTCTTGAGCGTCGATCGGATGTATTCCTCTGAAACGGCGATTCTGTGTCACATTTCTTCAAATTTGGATCACTTATCGATCCATTCGTGTCATTCATGGCTTCATTTTTTGTCATCTCTTTTCCATTCATTAATTTCTTTTTTACTTAATATTAAAACACAATTTATAGGAGAAATCGTTTCACAAAATACCAATAATTGTTATTAAAATGATAGTGTCATTCATGGCTTCATTTTTTGTCATCTCTTTTCCATTCATTAATTTCTTTTTTACTTAATATTAAAACACAATTTATAGGAGAAATCGTTTCACAAAATACTAATAATTGTTATTAAAATGATTTAAATAATTATAAAACTTGAGGCAAAATTAATAATTTTGTTTTATTATTGTATTAATTATTCCAAAAACGTAATGACACTGAAAACAGGTAATAAACGTGAGGTTTTTTAATATTTTAATCTCTGGTTTATAACAACTAATTCAAAAATAACAGTTTTTCAAAAGTATTACAAAATTTAAAAATTTATTCAACAAATTACTGGTTCGACACTTTGTTAATATAATTTATATAATATAATACTAATATATTTAGAGCTGTTTTTGTTGAATGAGATATATTTGTAAAGAAATATATTTAAATATAAATTATATAATAAAGTACTTGTAATGCATAACATTTCTACATTTAATTATTGTCTATATACATATAAAGTATAAATGACATTTTTATAATGTATTTATTTATAAACATTATTGTCTATTAAAATGATAATATAATTTCTCCAAATTGAGAGATAACTAGTTTTAAATAAATCTACAAAAGAGTGAGAAAAAAGTAAAGAAATCTAAGAGAAGTTCTGTGACACTCGATATATAAAAGTCAATTATATAATAATAGTTGCAAATATTTCTATAAAAACAACAATTTAAATGAAATTTATTGAAAATAAGGATAGAAATATCAAATAAGTAGGTATTTTAGTATTTAGTATTATAATACCATAATTTAAATAAAAATAAAACTATCAAAAATAATACAGTACTTCAATTGTAAAAAGCATTCACTTATTACCTTATGTTCTACTTTCCGGTCCAAATGAATTAATGCTCTAAATTCAGCTCTGGTTTACTTTTATTATTATTATTTTTATCAAAACACAAAACACAAAAAGAGTC